TTTTTAGATAAAAAAAAATCGATAGAGTTTCCAGCTCCACTTAACTCACTGTGGTTTAAAACTAGAATGGTATAATAGTCAAAAGTTTACTGAAAAATTAGATCGATTCGTCTGTTTAATGTAATTTTTATGTGAAAAAGATAATCAGTATTAATGTTATTTACTCATAAAAAATTAATTGAACATTTAAAATTGAACAAATTAAGTGATTGAAATTATTAAATCAATATGAAATTTAAAGAGTTAATTAAATGATTCCGCATCGATTTGATTTGTATGTGAACGGTCTAACTAAGTTACATGGCATATCACATGCAGACAGACAGACAGATAAAACGCAGAACTTCGTACATAAATACATCAGTTCACGTTGTCATTACCACATCAACACAGAGACGCAACTGTCAGTTCAAATCCAAGAGTGATAGCGATAGTAGAATTATTAGCAGCAATGAAGAAGATTAGGGAGCGAAGATATGATTCGAAAAGTATAATGCAGTGAGATAAATTTAGAAGGAGAAAGGTAGAGATTATGAGGTATTCAGAAGTTTAGAATTAAAAAGCACACAAAGAGTGGATACACCTGAGCCATTGCAAATGATTTTGAGTCATGTCGTTCAAGGTCTCTAACCCAAAACATGGCATAAATCCATGAAGTCATTGACGAGTGGACTTAGCCATGTTGGTAGTTGTCGACTACCTGGTTGGGGTCCGCGAGATGATAATAATCGATGGCTAGAGACCTTGAATGACATGGCTCAAAATTGTTCGCAATGGCACCGGTGCATTTATTCTTTGTGTTCTCTCAAATCCTAATCTTCTAGGTTCTTCAACACCTCTAGTTTTGACTTTCTAAACTTATCTCATTGAATCATACTTCGTGAATAATATCTTCTAATCCTAACCTCTCCGATTACTTCTAATACCTTTACTACCTCTTCTACTATTGGATTTGAATTGACAATTATATCTCTGTGCTGATGTGGTATGGCGACATGAACTGATGTACTTACGTACGAAGTTCTACGTTGCAACTGACTGACTGACTGAGGTCTCTAACCATTGGTGACTTTCGTCTAGCGGACCCCAACCAGGTAACACACATCTACCAACATGACTCCGTCCACTTGTCAGTGACTTCATGGATTTGTGGCATATCAGATACAAAACGATGACGATGCTCTGTATTCAACCTCTGATGAAGTGTTCACTGTTGAGCAACTGAACGTCAAAAGGCAAAAGATGTTGACAAAAGTATACAACCAAAATCAACTTCTATCTAAACTAGCATTCATAAAAATCCTTTAACTAAAATCAAGTGTATAATTTGTGATTGCTGATTTTGTTTAGAGAATCAGTCAATAAATATCATTTTACTATCTCTTCGTAGCTTACGATAGCAAATTCTATGGTTAAACTCGAAAATGTAAAGGCGTAGAAGAGCTAGAACTAAGTGTATCACAGATTTTTTCAGCATTCGATTACATTTTTGTTATAATTAATTCTTTTTTTTATTATTTTTGAAAACAACACAGGTGACAATTTTTCTTCTCATTCGTTGATAGTTCATTAGTATGTGTGCATGTATGTATGTATGTGTGTGTGTTTGTATTTGCGTGTTGATGTACACTTCAGTGAGTAAACTAGACAAAACTTATTTACTGCTTCTTTGTTTCGTTTTTCGTTCAGTCACACATTCACCTCTTTAGAGAGTCATTAATTGTCCTATCTCAATGCTTTTGTTTATTTATGGATTTGGATTACCACACACACACACACACACACCCCTTTTTGTTTAAATTTTTCACAAGGTGTGTGTTCAAATCAAATTGAAATTGATTGGTTTGAAAAATGAAATACGGGATGTAAGAAACTAAAATTTGATACTCCCCTTTGTTCATTTTTTTTCTGTTCGAAAAAAGTGTGTTTTTCTCAGGTAGGAAAAAAGGAATTCAATCATGTAAAATGACATGTGAAAAAGACAAACATACACACACACACAGCAAGCACTTATATCATCTACCCATATAGTGAAGAATACACAGCGTTAATTATGTACATTTGTGTGTGTGTGTTTTAATGCACACACACACACAATATTTTCAATGTCACTCACAAATTCTCGCATCAAATAATTTGCATTAATATATCGTCATGTTCAAGTGTCGGATAGAGAAAAAAAAATTTACAGCGACTTACGTTGTAGTAAGCCCATCCTGATCGATAGTTGACTTGTTAGATAGATAGATGTATTTAATGGGTGGATGAATGAATGAATGAGTGAATAGATGGATAGATGAATGGAGATAGAAAAAAAAACTGATCAACCAACCACTCCTGATAGATTGACACAAGTCTAAGAGTAAACTATCAACTCATTATTGACAAGTGTTTTGGTCATGTGGTCACAAAACATACAAACAATACATATATATACATAAGTATACATACCATGATGTGAATATAAAAATTTGCATATATAGCTATATGCCTTAATACATACAGACTGACAAGTCTCATATTTCAAGTAGGTAAACCTATCCATCTTATATATATATATATATATATATATATATATATATATATATATATATATATATATATATATATTTACACAAGTAGAATGAGTTTTCGGTTGTCATAGCTGCATGTGTTTTCACATCAGACAAGGACACATAGAAAGAATTAAAAGAGAGAGAGAGAGAGAGATAGAAAGTAATCGGAGGAGTAGTGATTATATTTTGAAAATAAAAAAGCTAAAGAGCAATTTTCCATTTTGAAAAGATTGTATTATTATTATTATACCTCTAAAGTAAACAGATAAGGGAAAAGAAGTGGTGAGGTGTGGTGCGTTGATGGCAATAAGAGACCATGGTTAAGTGTTACAATCGAATGAAGATTGATAAAGATGACCTTAATCGAAGTTTTCTATCTCATTGAGATTTGCATAGTCGAGGATCATATCTATGACCCTAGTCTTTCTTATATAGATAAGAGATTATGGCACACTATTTACAAATACTGTTACTATGACAACCATAATAGTTGTATAACAAATAAATCAACAGAATAAATAATTCAACAATATATCAATCATTTTCGATTCGAGGTTATCAAATTTAATCATTCAATGAACAAATTGTATGTTAATCAATCAAGTTTTTATTTATCACAAAGCAAGTTGACGATAATCACACACAATCATATCACCATAGTCAACCAAATGAACTTGTTGAGTTTGAATTTTTATCTTTTTGAATATTCATTGATTGAATAGGAAAGCATGTTTATTCTAGCTATAGTTACATGTTTACGTTTTATTTACGTTTATTTACTAAAAAGAAGTTTTTCGAAACACTTAAGAAATTGAATTGAAAAATACTACTGTACACATTGTCATCATCTTATGAAATAAATTGTATGTGTCTCTCTGTGTGTGTCTGTGTGTGTGTGTGTTTGTATTCTATCATGCATCATGAAATGAAATAGAGTGACAGCTCGTAAATAATTATCAACAATGTTTATTTATGTATATAAATATATATATCAAATCATTTGCGTTCATTTCGTGTCATTAATGATTACTATTACTATTACGAATGATAACCATGTATTATTATTATAAGATTTAAGTTGTTGTAACTATCTAAAGATTTTGTGAAGATTATTGGAATTTGCATAGTTTACATCATCAAATGACTTTCGTTAAACTAATAACTGAAAACAATAGAAGCTTTGAATAGCTATTTCACTGTAGCATAAAACTCTTCAGAATTACATAATCCTACAACTAATTGAATTCAAGATATGTAGTCTCTCTCCGTTTGTGTGTGTGTGTGTGTGCTTAATCTTTAAACCATTCAGTCAGCATCAATAATATTGTACGACCATCTACTACCTGCGGTTAGATTAGAAGACTGATAGATTTGGTGAGATAAATGATTTTTCAGAGTATCTAGTGATTGAAGTTGTGCACATGATGACTATTCAAAGACAACGTTCTAGAGGTTGAGCGTCTGTGCGTGAAACCGAAGGCCTTGGCCTTGATCACCAGTGGTATGGTTGTGGAAATGCACTGTTAATGTACTTTCAACTTTCGCCCATATTTATCACATCACATATTAATTATTACATTCAAACTCAACATGTTTTTTTTTTTATTATTTCAATCAGTTTTCTAGAGCATTTGCTTCAAATCTTATACTCAGCTATAACATTTCAATGATAAATGTTAATTTTTTTATGATGTTTCATACACACACTGTCATTGTGTATATTTTTTTTGGCTAACTACTTACCAAGTTATTTTGGTTTTGTTTATGAAATTCAATACACCATCTCTTACAGAATCAATTACAGAGTAGAGTAATCAGTTAACTGAACAGCTGAACAGTATTTTTCATTGTGTTCAAACATAAGTCTTACTTATTGTTATAAACTGAAAAAAACCTTTTGAAGGTAATTTAAAATTTTCTGTATCAAAATTAAATTTAGTCATAAAATTATAGAAATCAGATTACCAACTACAACTAAAAAGGCATCTAATAGTTGTTCCCTCTTTGATTTTTAGGTTCCAAACTTGAAATCAAATACATGATTATCTTTTATTACGGTTGGTTAACAATTAGAATTGTCATCTCTTTGGTAAGTGTTCGGTTGATACATATGCCATAATTCTATGTTGATATTCACACTGGGACTCGAACCTTATGTGAAATACTGAGTTCACATAATCACTGACTTGTGAAAAAAATGCCGGTATCCAACCTAATCTAATCAGGATCAGTTGCATCAACAGACATGGAGTACAAACTATTACAAAGAACATTACCTTATCTTGCCCAAAATGGTTCAGATTAAGTCATATATATTAGCATCTAAAATATTCTGAAATACCTATTTGAAAATACTTCATATTAAAACAATATTTATATAATCATTGGTCACAATCAAGATTTTATTGTCACAACACAAATTCACCCGAGAATAATATCACTTACTTTTTGAACTTCTTGAATTGCCTATTTCATGATGAAATCTAGTTGAACATTTAACAACCGATCTATTGTTACTATTATTATTAGTATTATTATTATTATTGTTATCGATTCCACTTGATAAATCATTTTCCAAATGTTCATCTATTGATCCATTGCACTCTTTCATAGGATTATTATCATGCGTATTTTGAATTGTTTGTTCATGTAATAATATTTCTCCATTAAATTCCTCTTCATCTTCATTATCAACTGGTAATTCATTGTCTTCAATTACATCATCATCACCATCATCAGCATTGTCTTCCATTTCAGTGATTGATCCATCATTCACACCATCTATCATATTAATATTATTACTGTTACTACTACTACTGTTAGTAGTATGTGTATATTGATTCGGATGTTGTGGTTGTCTTAAATACTTCGATTGTGTTGAATTCTTATACAAATGTTGTTGTTGTTGTTGCTGTTGTCCATTCATCAACATCATATCATGATGACTGAATAATTCATCAGTGAATTCTTTCGATGATAAATTCATTAAATCTAAATTTTTAAATGTTTGATTCATTGTTGTCGGGAATATGGATGTGGATGCTGCGGCAGCAGCAGCAGCTGCAGCTACAGCTGCCGAAGGTGACATTGATCCAGTTAATGACGCTGCTGTCGATGATGATGATGATGATAAAGGTTGTGTAAATGTTGACAAAGGTGGTATACATCTGGATAGATCTGAATTAGGACGACACATACCAGCCATTGCAGCAGCGGCTGCTGCTGCTGCCATCATAGCTGCTAGTGAAGATGTGGATCCAGTTGATACTGTGGCTGGGTAATTAGTGATTGGTTGAGATTGACTTGAATTTAAACAATCAGTACCTATTAGAGAATTAAATGTTGACTGAATACCTGATGGTTTGTTCATCGTGGAATTGGTCATTGTTATTGATGCAGAAGATGACGGTGAAGATGTGGAAGAACACATTGTTGTTGACGATGGTAGAGAAGCAGAAAGAGGATGATGCGATGACAATGAACATAATCCAATAGTATCATTGGTATTATTCAATTTAGGTGAAGTTTTCATAAATATCGATGAATTAAATTGATTTTCATCTAATGAAATCGAAGAAGCACATGACGACGAGGATGACAATGATGCCGATGAGATGACTGGATCTGTTACAGTTGTATTATATGGAATAGTTGAATTCGACGAAGTAATGTTTAATTTATCATCATTTGTCTCTTCACATTCATTTGTTTCATTATTTAATAAATTTGTAATTATACTAACATTACTATTATCATTATTGGTATGATGATTGTTTGCAATACACTCGTTATCACTGCCAGCACATTTGTTCTCATGATTATCAGTAGTCATATTAGTAGTACTATGAGTATTAGAAGTAAACAATGATGGAATTGATGCATTTTTTCCTGGTAAATTATGATATGGAAATAAACCAATAGTTTCTGCTTGTTGGGTATACCAAGCCGATAATGCTGTAGCTAAGATATTTTGATTATTATTATTATTAGTAGTATCGGTCAATGATGGACAATTAGTTAATTGTAATAGAAGTGGATTTGTTGATGGCCCATTCAGAAAATTTGATGGTTGAATAAATGGTGGATAATTGAATAAATTCTTTGAAGTTGTGGAATTATTACTAGGATTATTACTATTACTATTATTATTACTATTATTTACACATGAAGTATTAGCTAATGATGTAAATCCCGGCAGTTTGTTCAATTGACAATTGATTTGATTAAAATCTTGTAAATTAGACATTGATTCATCCGATATAAAATGTCTTGGACTTTTATTCAATACATCACATGGTGGCGATAGAACTGGTGGGAAATTATTTGAATTTGATAATAATCGTTGATTATTACCAAATAAAGAAGTAGCTTGTTGTAATGAATCTAAACTAATGCTAGATGGATGCCATGGATCCAATGGATTCGAAGTGATATTATTATTAATATTATTATTATTACTGCTACTTCCACCACAAGGGAATGAATTAAATGGCCAACAACCACTAGCCATTAAAGCTGATAAAAATACTGGATTCATATAAGCTGGATAAGGTGGGAAATTCATTGGTAACGGTGTATTGGATAATGGTGAATAGATTTGTGAATGATCATTCATTGTCGTCGTCGTCGTTGTACCTGATGATGATGATGATGATGATAAACCAGAATCATTACCAATTTCAGAATTAGTCGACTTATGCGATTGCTGATGTTGACAGTCACGATAAAAATTTGATAATATTGTTGATTTAGTGTTATTCATAGCATTGACAGGAGTAGTATTACTATTCACCATAGGGATACAAGAAGAATGCAGTGATGATGATGAAGAAGAAGATGCCATAACTTGTTGACTATTCATCATGTGTTTACTACTATTATTATCATTAGTATTAGTGTTATTATTATTATCATTATTATTATTATTATAACATGGTGAACAGTTTGGATCGATAACTGGATAAGAACAACTCCATTTATCACTTGAATCTTCATCATAATGATAACGTTTATGCTGTGCAGTTAATAGAGATAATTCACAACTGGAATGACGTTTACGATTTCGACGTAACATTCGATAAGGTTTCTTATCATGTTCATGTTTACAAATACTAGTAGTAGATGTAGTCATTGTTGTACTTGTCATTTTCACTGAAGTACAACAATTTGTTTCAAATGATGTAGAAGGACTAGATGTACAACATAATGATGAATAATACGGAGATTCTAAGCATATATCCTTCTTTTCTTCTATTTCTTTGTCATCATTTACTTCATCTTCAAAATTCTCATTATCATCATGTTCTGTGGATGATGGATAGTTAATTTCAAACGGTATTGATTTTCTATTCAATGCATTTGGTGTTGTAATAACAGGTGGTGGTAGTAAAGTATTTGGTGAATGATTTTCATCATGTTCATTTGTTACAAACTGTATAAAAATTGAATTTTTCAAATAAAAAGAAAAAGTGAAAACAGAAAGAAAAAAAAAGAAGACTGATGAAGCGGAAATATTTTTAGTTTAATAAATAAATAAAAGTGATTAGAATTACTTTTATGATTGATTATTCAACAACTTTAGAAGACGATATACACAAGTAATAACGATGTCTGTCTCTACTATGATAGTGTTAAATATAACTTTTGAATTGTTGACAGTCATAACGTATTGTTGATATGGCAATAATTGACAACGTACAACATAATGGATGTAATTCAATGTGAACTTTGAATTACATAGAGGTAGCTAGTTCATGTCATAGAATATTTGCTCCTTGTTGATCTGTGGATATTTTAAAATTTTCCCTTATTCGAATCATCAACTGATGATTAGTTTAACCAGCAATGAAAACAAGGAAGCATTACACAGCTGTTTCGTCATGGTATGTGACTCTTCAGCAGTGTGTATCTACAACACCACCACCACCACAGGGAATAGAACTCGGGACCTTTGTCCTTACATTCTTGAAGTTTCGCGTTCACGCACGGTCTTCAGTTCAATTCTCTGCTGAAAGTTCACAGATGTGCACTGTCACTGAGTAGTCCCATACTATAATTACAGTTGTTCAGTGCTTTCTGATGTCCAGTGGTGGTTTAAGATTAACATTAAGCTACAGCTATCCAATATTTAAACAAAACAATATATTGAACTCTTAATGATACGTTTAATATAAGGATTCGTTTTTAAGGTCAATAAGTATCCAGCACTACTTAACTTCCTTTGTTAAAAATTTACATTATCTTAGTAACGAACATGTTAAAATATTGAAATCATTTCTAATTTCTATTATTATTATTATCTAATAAATAATTTATTTATACATCAGTAAAAAAAGTCATCTTGTTTACTCTCATCTGTTCACATGTTTCTACTATGATTATTTTGTTTCCTTCTTGAAAATTATTATTTGTTACAAATATTGTCAATATTAGTTCATGTTCAAGATTCAATTGAATTAACTGTTTGCTTTTTTTCTAATAAATCAATTGTTATTTTACTTGAGGAAATGTACACATCATTTTGATACACTTTTTTTTAATCTGTACTTTGAAAAGTGAATGGAAGAAAAACAAATTTAGAAAAAACACAAACAAAACAAAACAAACCAATGACCCATATTGTAATTCAAATGTAAACACAATTTATTTCCCGTGTTATTGAATACTATATATTTTTTTTCTAGCAATATTCTGTTACATTCTGATCGATAAAGTTTAATTTATACACAACAAATCCTGTTTAAGTCTTTCATCATATTGGTAATATAGGAACATGTATGTGTCGTTGGATTTGTCCTGTGTATGGTTGTGTTGTATAAGGGAGAGTTTTGCCTGACTTCTTCCACCCTGGTCATTTATCTCTCAAGAGAAAACATTTATACATTAGTGTATATATGTATTGAAAACTCATGAGCTTAATTCTTTACTTACATGAGAAAAAATTAAAACAAAAAATTTTGTATCAAACAAATTAGGTTTATAAAGGAGACGATGATATACAAAGAGTCATTTATTTTAAGAAGAAAAATGAAATCAGATAGGTAAATCAAATAAATCAAATAACAAAGTGAAACCAAAATCAATTTCTACAGATAATTCAATTTAATTATTGAAATTAATTCTTATCAATATAACTAATATTTTATTTTATCATTTTTTTTTCTATTGAAAGGGGGAAAACAAAAATAGATTTTCATTGGATTGTTCAACGTTATAACATGATATAAACAAATGAATAACGATTTAAAATGGCTGCCTTAAACTCGGATGTAGGGCTCACCAGTGTTTAGTCGCTCGCGAATCGAAACCGATTTGGAAGAATATTATGTTGATTCTATAAAATAAATCTTTCATCAATTTCCGTAAATCTTGTGACACGGCAGTAATAAGGAGAGAAATACGCATTGTGTATGGATGGATTTATTTGATGATGTAATCGTTTATTAAGACTGATATACGAAAAAAAAATGCAGGAAAGCAAAGCAGAGAGAAGTGATGAAGAACGCGGGCGAACTAACTCAACGTGATCAAGCACGATGAAGCATGAAAATAAGCAATGTATACATACACACACACTCAAGTAAAAACAATCAAGATTGTAAGCGTATAATTGACAAGATCGAAAAGAGTGTGAATAGTTCGAAAAGAATGGATTGATTAATTTGTCCAAAGGCTGGGACAAGCCATATGGCCTCAATATATTAATGCACACAAACACACACACATTACAATAGTTGCTTGAATTTCTATTCTCTCAGTTGTGTAGGTTCAATCGTTATACCCTTCGATTTGTACTTGGAGAAATATATGAAAGATACACAAACTTGTAGCTAATTATTACAGTTATCTCACTATTTCAATTATTATATCTATATCTATAGCACCCAAGATCAAAGATCACATTTTAATGTAATCAATATTATTCTATCAATGATATAAACTAGATAAGATTATGATGAACATTTAATAATCAATCAGTGTAATAAAATAATTCAATTTTAAAATAAGTTCGTTATTAACAGCAAGACTCAGTATTCATATTTACGTCAGTGAATTGAGTTCAAATCCGTCTGATATTATTGTTTCTTATAAATTTTGCAGATATTTCCTAAGTATAAGTGTCAAGTTTCATAAAATGCAGTTCGATTAGATTATTACAATTCACAGTTGTTTAAAACATAATATTATTAACGTTTTATAATTTATCCAATGATAAGCACTACTGAGTAATTTGAATTACTCGAAATTCAATGCCCTACAACTATATGTATGGTGTGTGATTGAAAAACATATGAAAATTAAAATCAATAATTAATAATTATTTACGAATAATTGATTCCTTATGTACATATGGTACCGTATTGAATTGTAACTAAATAATAGTCAAGGTTTACCTTTGTTTTTTTTTTTTCAATCGACTATGAAATTTGATATCAAGAACAACCTTTGTACTGTATATTGATCTTTTTTATTTTATTTCAAAATGCTAACGATTACTTTATCAATTTAATCATTGAAAATGCATGTTATTGACATTCATTTACAGATCATTGTTGGAAATCCATTAGAAACGAAAAAGCACTGGATGGGCGTTTCGTCTCATTATGGGACTGACTCTCATCAGTAGTAGTATGCATCCACGACCCCTGTATGCATTAGATTAGATTGTCAGAAAAGCGGCTGAAATTATCTGAGTATAAAGTGTAATTATATTTTGAATATCTCTTGACAAATATGTTTCTATAAGAAAAAACTTGTTTGATCATGAGATTTTTTCAAGTATTATTATCCTCATCCTTTTTTCTTCTATTTTTCCTTCATTTTTCTGTTTATTTTTATTATGTTCATACAGAGCGGTTACTAGAAATATCAAGATAATCTTATTTGAATGAAATCAGTCCATTGTAAATTAGTATGTATACACAACTGAAAAGAAAACTGAACTATCGATTTATAAACTAAGGTGATTTATGAAATTATTATGTAATTTTCCTTGAACAGAAAATATACAATAAACTAATGCTCACATTGTTAAATTATGTGGATATTAGACGTTGGCTCTATAGTTTAGAGGTTACAAGTTTGTATGCGAGGATGAAGGTCCTACGTTCGATCCCTATATGAGCGGGTCATGGATGGGCACTGCTGGTCAGTCACATACTAGGACGAAACAGCCATCCACTAGTGTTTCCAGGTTTCTAATGGTAGTCTAACAATAATCATCAATTCAATGAAACTAAACAATCTCTATCAACAGATAATGAAAAAAATGTATAGAAATTTTATTTGAAGAAAAAAATGAAAACGTTTGAAAATTGAACAACTTATATACGTGTATAATTCAGTAAAAATTTGTATTAATGTTAACTAGTCATTAATAAATCATTGAAGGAATTATATTTTAACAATACAAACTTTAAAACAAACAGATGTCAACTCAGATCAATATATTAGATGAGCGATTAAAACAAAATAAAATTGACAATCGAACTTATAAAGTAGACGGGATTAAGAGAACTATACAATCATTGTATTTATTATGAATTAAATAATATTTAATTGACAAGTAAGTACCGATGATATAACTTAAAACAACAATATAAAATCAAATCAGCAAACTGAGTGTTTATAAAACAACCCAAAAACACTGAGAACAAACTCTTTGAGTCATTTCCCATTTTGATGTCATACCTAGGAATGAAGCGAGAATGGTTATTTTCGCTTTAAAGTTTCTACAATTCACAAGTATCGAATAAAGGTTTACTTACCGGAAGTCATAAGCAGTGGAAAGCTTTCTACGACAGAAATATCACTTCTTTCTAATACTGATATGTGAAGTACACTGCAGTCCGACATGATAAAACAAAAACTATCACATCACAAAGTCACACACACCTCGAATCTAGACCAGAATTAAAAATTGTATCTAATAAATATATCCAATTTAATGACTAAATAAATGATCAAGAACTCAATTGTTACTATTATCTAAGATATTTGTTTCAGAGGATTTGACAATATGAAGTTAATCCGTAATGCACTCAAAAGAATCTATTGAAATTATCAATCTTCTGCGCCATTTTCTTATATAGAGATATTTAAGAAAGATTACAATTTTTAAATATAAAATGTTCAAATTATTTATTAGTGGTTATTCGTCTTTCAACCTATACAAATATATATAAATATATATATGATTATATTTTAATTATAAAATGTCAATCAATCATTGATAATCATAATCAATAATAATAATAATATTATTATTATTATTATTAATAATGACTGTGAACTAATGAACTTTATCTAGTTAGCCTTAAATTTTCAATATTCAATTCACAAATATAATCTTGTACAATTGAAAAGTGATTAAAAAAAAATTATAAATAAATGATAAGAAAGTGTATGTATGTATGCATGTATATATAAATG